TGTGATATCACAAATATCGACGAATGGGATGAGACCTGGTTTGAGCTGCACTAGAGAAGGCAACGAGTGTTATCACTATGTCGGAGACACGCTAGCTTTCCCAGGGCAGACGAACTTAGAGTGGTTACAATCATCCGGGTTTAAATCGCGCACAAATTGATTTGATGTTGATGCAATATTTACACTGAAGCTCACAGGCGGCTATGGCAAGGGCCATGACATTTCCCGACCAGGCGCCGAGTGGTGCCAATCACAACACCCACCGGCCCAGCTAACCAATCACAGCACATTTCGTATTTCAGAAGGTAGGCCTTCATTTCATACAGGAACTATTCGAGCCGTTCATGCCAGACTGGGGAGAGAGGTGTTGTAATTATGTAAAATATGTGAAAAATAATGTGTTTTTCGAACAACCTAGTATGAGAGCCTGTTCTAGTACACCCCCAAAACAAAATCAAGACTTTGTAAAAGAGCATAATAGGACCCCTTTAACCATTAAAGCAGAGTATAGAAAAATTTAAATGGGAAAAAAAATTATCCAGAGAAATATAAATGGAATTTTGGAATTTGGACAAAAATAAAACAGAATTTGGGAAAAAATAAAACTAGCATTCTCAGTGCTGTCAAAATAAAAGTCCCATTTCTGACACATCAGCCAAACAGAAAAGCTTCTCAGCCAATTCAGATTAATTACAATTTTCAAGTATTGGTGGATTAAAAGACATGATCAGCTGATAAGAGTCATATGTTCGTGAATCGCAGTACACTTGTTGTAAAGTATGTTATGAGGACAATTCAAATGAAAGACATGTTTTTTTTCTTATATTATGGTACTCTGTCTAATGTTCATTTTGGGTTACAAACTCAGGTAAAACATGATTTCTTTTGCCATGGGCTGTAGAAGAAACGTTATCAAGATTGTTCAAATGAAGGACACAATTAATCACAAAATCTGTTTTTTTTGTCCAGCCCTAGTGTTTAGTGTTGACCAGTCCCGTAACCAGCTATGAGGCCACCGAGGTCCGGACCTCGGTAAAATTTTCATTTTCAAAAATATGATTTGTTCTTTGAATGATTAAGTAGCTGTTAAACTCCTCATATGAATGCCTGCATGACATGTATAATTCAGTTTAGACAGTTTGCAAGAATGTTTAGCGTCCCTGTTATGAAAATGATCGCTGCGAGACGCTGGCGGAGTGAACGAGCCTTGAGAGAGTTGTGAGTGAAGGCGCGGGCGCAGCCTCCGTGTTGTCAGATCCAACTATTATAAGCGTTTTTGGACTTGTCTTTTCCACTTAATTTAACACTTTAGAAAGTTAATAAAGTAGGAAGTTGCATTTTACGTCAGCGATATCTTTATGTTATCTTATTTGGAAAAGATTTGAAATAATTTTGGTTTATTTTTATTTATTTTTCGGTTTTTGTTTTTTTTAATAGCAATATCTGGCAACACTGCATCACTGGCACTTAAATTGACAGTATCAAAAAGGCCCATGGATACAACATGCGGTAAGGGAAACGCAAAAAAACAAAAAACAAAAACCTTGATATTATCTGTCAGAAACGTTATCAACGCTGTCAAAAACAGTAGCATTTAACACTAGTGCACAGATCTGTAGAACAAGTAGGTTACAGAATGAAATGAAATACGCAAACACTAGCCAT